GGCAGCGACCAGGGGGCCGGGGCAGGGACCAGGGGGCCGGGGGGCCTGGCTCTGTCACTCACACCAAGACATCCAGGGAACCTCCCCCAAGGCCATCAGCTCAGGGGACGGCTGCCTTGGAACCAGCTGAGCCCAGTGAAGCTGAGAGGTGGCAGCGACCACAGGACGCAGGAGGGGTGGCAGGGTGGGCAGCTGGAGGGGTGGCAATGACCACAGGACACAGGAGGGGTGGCAGTGACCACAGGACGCAGGAGGGGTGGCATGGGCAGCTGGACCACAGGACGCAGGAAGGGTGGCAGGGTGGGCAGCCAGAGGGTGGCAGCCACCACAGGACGCAGGGGGGGTGGCAGCGACCACAGGATGCAGGAGAGGTGGCAGGTGGGCAGCCGGAGGGGTGGCAGACGTCCTGATGTTAAAACCGTAGTCCTCTGCTCCTTGTCGCCGTGTGCCAGGCACCGAACTCGTCACGTGACACGCTCCGTCTCAGTTCTCACAGGTCCCCGTGAGGAAGGGCGTTGCCGTGTCCTATTTCACAGATGAGGCTGGGCTCAGGGAGACAGGGCCCGTTGGGCAATAAGGGACAGAGCCGGCCTCGCCTCCACGGGGCTCCTAGGCTGGTGCACACCCTGACCACAGGCCCCGCTGCCCACAGCAGAGTCTCCAGAGAAAGTGCACGGTGTGGAGGAGCCTGGCTGGGCTCGTGCTGGACGGGGAGGGGCTAGTTAAAGGGGCAGGAGGCAGCCCCTCCAACACTGGGCTTTGACAAAATGCCAGGCTGGTCTCCCAGGCCTCAGGGGCACACGGAACCTTCAGGCCTTGAAGGGAGGCACGCGGACTCTCTGGGGCACTGAAGTGGGTGGGGGCCCGAGCTGCCTGCTCTGGAGTGAGGCAGGGGCTCCAGGCCGATGCCGGGCCCTTCGCTCAGGACTTCGGGGGCCAGTGTCCCAGGCTGACCCAGGGCTTCCAGACCATGGCCTCGGGGCCCAGCTCTTCCCCGCTGCTCCCTCTGCCACTCTCCCCGGACAGTGGATTCCGGGGGCCGCAACCACTGCCTCGTCTCCCAGGCAGCGCAGGAGGTGTGCCCCTGGGGTTCCCAGCGGGCCCCCAGACTCAGCTGCCCCCTCTTGAGCCTGTCAAACCCTTGTGGGTTCTTTAAGTCACACGGGGGTGGGGCCCCTTCGTCCAGGAAGCCTTTTCTGGGCCTCCTTGGCCGGGGTTCCTGCCCCACCTGGATGCTCCCAGATGCAGGGCACTCACTGCACCCACGCGCTGACTCATCACCGCCTGCCTAGGTGTCTCCCAGAGGCGTGAGCTCCTGGAGTGCAGGGCCTTTGGAGGATGCGGGGGTGGAGGATGGGGGGGGCGTGTTCTGGCTTCTGAGAAGCTGGTTCTGGAAGAGGAGCTGGAGTGTGCGTCTGGGGAGGGGAGTGGGGCTCGGAGAACTGGGCTCCGTGTCCTGTGGGCCCAGGAAGGCCACAGGCAACCTCAGCTGCAGGGTGTGGGTGTCCCTGGGGAGGCCTGGAGAAGGTCGGAGGGACGCCGTGGGTAGCCGGGGGTAGGTAGGAGGTCTGTGGCGACCCTGGGGTGCACCTGTAGGGGCTCCTGGGGTACAGAACAGGGCGGGCAGGGCCTGGTGGTGACGGCGTGCTCTGCCCCCAGAGGTCCTGTCGAGCCGCATGGAGGGCATGATGGCCTCCTACACGCCGCTGGCCCCGCCCCAGCAGCAGATCGTGGCCATGGAGCAGAGCCCCTATGGCAGCA